CCGCCTGTGTCGTCGCGGCCGCCGCTATCCTCTGCATCTCTTCTCTGGTCATCGTCACCATCTGTTGACCGGGAGCTTGTACAACGGCTTGCGGTGGCGCTCTTCCATGTGCCACCACTCCTCCTTGTGCCGTCACTCTTCCTGGTTGCGCCACCACTGGTTTTGGGGCGGCGGCAGTGGCATCGCCGCCGCAGTTGCTGCGCGAGCCTCCTGGGCACGACTGGAGCTAGCCTCTCCCCCAGAATCGCCGTAGACGCTCCCACACCTTGAAGGATGGGTGTAGGAGTGACCGGCGTCTGTGAAGGGCCAGAGAAACCCAGAGGAGGTCCTTGGCCTGGTCCACGTCCAAGCATCGTGGAACGTCGACTGCAAGTTGGTTCTGGGAATTCCATCTGTCATAGCTGAGCTTCAAACACAACTTCTCAAACAAAAGTCCCACTGACGGCGCTAATAATGCAAATGTGAGCGTTTTGGTCCGGTTTGGAGTAGATCGATTATTTTCCTCGCTGGTAGAACGTCGGAAACCTGCAAATAACTCTCACACTGGGGGGTTGTGTCCGGTGAAGAGCCTCAGATGCTTAATTCAGTATGTGTATGAGTATACTGGAATTGAGTAATGAAAAAATCGTGTTAAGAAAGAAAAGGCTCACCCCCTTTATATAGGAGTGAGATACTTGCCCTAAGGCTGCCCAGATTTGATGAACTGGCTGCCCAAGCTGCCCGTCCGTACTCTGACACACAGTGCGCATGTCAGAGGTGACGCGGGACGTTGGGAGCTGTAAGAGGTGTTTGTCGCTATCAACCAATGAGTTCTCGACACGTGTCCTCCTGCACATAGGATGAATATTCTCCTGAAATTCTGTTAGAGGCTCTTTAACACGCCTATGACTAGGCCAATCTATGAAGTATTAAGTCCACAAAGTGGTCAACCGATCGAGGTCGACTAAACTGCTCGATCGCTTATCTGGTCGAGTGATGGATTGGTCAATTGCTTATCTAGTCGACTGGTTGACTGATCGACTTTCCTGTCACTCGGCTTGGTTTCTTCACGGCATGGCCTCTTCGACCGGTCAGTAGAACGGTTTAGCCTTGTGGGTACAATATCCTATATCAGTATGTATATCCAGTTCCGCTTAGAATGGTGGCTGGTTCAGGTGCCCTAAATCCATTATGAGTTCTAGTGGCGTAATCTGCCCACTAGGGTGTGCACATGGTTCCGGCGGGGTTCATTATAGCTGGCAGATACAATATCTGATCCAGTAGTAGTTTATATTGTTGATCAGCCTGTCATGGACATAGACACAGATTATATATATGCCTCTGATCATGATATCGCAATTATTATTACTATTTTATTTCAGCATGAGTTTCTGCGGAGCACAGTGGCTTTTAGCGCTCACGCCCCCACTATATTATCTTTTTCAGGTCACAGGGTCGGTCCTAAGGAGTGAGATGAGCTGGTGGTCGTGGGTTTGTTTATACGTCTGTTTACGGACTTTTGGACATGTATATATTTATTTTGCCACGTTTTACTTCCGCTGACATTTTCAGGTTTTCGAACCCGCATGTTGGTTTTCAGGTTTTGATCCGATTTGTCTGTCAGATTTTACACAATTTTCCATACTTGTTTAATTAGAAATAATCTATTTTTCTTAATAAGTTTAACTTAGAAAAGATAACGGATTTTCAGAAAAGAAAGGTTTCTCAGTAGCATCCCGAATCACGATTTTGCAAGTTAATAAGTATTTTTCAGATAAGATTTTGCGAAAATTTGACTCTGATTTTGATAAGCTAGTGGAGTGTTGCAATTGGTATCAGAGCACGTTTTTGTGTATCTGAATACTTTATTAAGTCAAGAAGTTTTCAGAAAACCCGACCACACCACATTCGCGCCATGCCGACTACCAGGTAAGTGTTGATTTACAGTTTATATATTTAAACAAATGTCTAAGTCTATGCTCAGTAGAGGGTGTCAGATATTTAACCCTAGAAACCAGTACAGATGCTCAAGTCAGTTATAGAGTACCTTCAGGATATTGTCGATTTATTCCAGTTTATCCGATAATTCGACTCTAGTTTTCTCGGGTTAAGTTAGCGACTCGTCAAGAAATTTGTGTGCCTTAATAATCAGTTAATGTAATTACATTGTGCTATATCTCTGTGTTGATCAGATTGAACATTTGACTATACAGATGGCACAGCGTAGAGATTAGGATCATTAGGAGATTCCACAAGCCACTATAGTTGCCCAGTTCCGCGACTACCATCCTGAGAAGTTTTCCGGTCAGGGAGATCCCCGACTTGTTGACGAATGATCCAGGGCCTCAAGATGATATTTGAGGTCATGGCCCGATCGTTACCGCGTACTCTGTGCCCAAATCCAGATGACTGGCGACGCACGCCTTTGGTGGAACGCCTACTGGGGGATGCGTCCCGGCGAAAAGGAGAATTGTACGTGGGATCAATTCAAGGAGATTATGCGCGAGAAGTATTATCCAGCTTATTATTGTGCAGAACTTGAGCGTCAGTTCTTGGCGCTTAGACAGGGTGCTCGTTCAGTGGACGAGTACAAACGTGAGTTTACCCGACTTGGATTCTTCGTTCCTGAGTTATTGGGTTCGGAGGAAAAGAGATCGAGGCGTTTCATTGACGGACTTTTGCCAGTAGTTCGTCACAACATCGTTGGCCACGGCGTCCAAACCTATGCCGATACCGTCAGCAAGGCCCAGGAGATAGACGCAAGTATCTTGAGGGAGGCCATTCTGATTCCAGCACAGCCAGTTGCCCAACCACTACCAGTACCACCTGCCCAACCAGTAGTTTCCCAACAGCCAAAGAACAAAGGGAAGAGGAAGGGGAGAGGATTCCAGGATGATCGGAGGAACCACCTCAGACAACAACAACCAGTCCCACTTTGCCCCACATGTGGACGACATCACTGCAGAGAGTGCCTTATGGGCCAGAACATCTGTTTTTATTGTCGACAGCCCGGACATACCCGTGCCAACTGCCCTGCACGACAGCAACCACCACCACAACCACAGCAACCTCAACAACAACAACAACAACAGCCTAGGCAGCAGCACCTGAGGCAACCCCAGCAGCAGCAGTGCGAGAGACAGCAGACCCGTGTCTATGTCATCGATCAGGCCGAAGTAGAGCAGCACCCAGGTACCATGTATTGGATGATTATTCTCAATGATATTCCTGTTTTCGCCTTATTCGACACCGGAGCGACTCATTCATTTATATCACACCGATGTCTTGATGATATTAGGGTTTGTTCTGTCAGCGCTGTCGATCCTCTCGAGGTGAGCTTAGCCTTGGGAAGAAAGATAGTGACTGATGCCAAAGTCGAGAGTCTCAGTCTTTTAGTCGGCGGCCGTATCTTGACTACGGACGCTTATGTCATCGAGATGAGGAACTTTGACATCATTCTCGGTATGGACTGGCTGACTCGTTTTCATGCAGATATCCGTTGTCACGACTGGGAGATTACCCTCCATCTTTCGGGGGACGTGATACAGAAGTGGTTATTAACCCCGGAGAGTCCGAGGACGAGACGATGGACGACCTTGATATTTGGCTAGAGAACATGCTCGAGGAGCCA